CATATTCTCTATACTTGCCGCACTTCTGGATCTCCCCCACTACTCTGATCAGCACTTCCCATCCCCTCCTCGCTCACTTCGTATCCCCAATACCACCAGATCCATATTTCCGCAACGACCAAATTGGGAAGGAAAAAGAGCCACGCGGCAATCGTCAACCATTTCAATTTTTCCTCATAGTCCAATTCGTCAGCAACACCACTTTTCCTGGCCGAAACGGAATATATAAATAACGGTGACACATAGAGCCTATACAATGCAGATCCAATTCCGAGTGCAAACGTTCTTACCGCCCATCGTTTGTGGGTAGCGATTTGTTTGCGTCGCGCATGGAATATTGTTAACATGGAGTAGGATAAAAGCAGAATGCCGTATATTGCAAATGGAAGATCAGTGGCCGCACCAGCGACTGTAGAGCGAGCGAAGATGTAAGTAAACCCGAATATCGACGCTATCACACAGCCTAGAATGTAAATACGTCCGGAATAACGATGAACAATTATATATTTACGACGTATGTACGGAAGAAGTTGGATTGGGCCTAATGATGGGACGGTAAATCGTACGCATTAGTTTGACAATAGAGAAAACAAGGATGCTAATATGTCTTGTACCCTTGACGGTAAATATGGAAATTACCGATAACCAACGAATACCCTCTCTCATTTTCCCGTCTCTCATCTCTCCCTCTTCTCCTCATTGATCTAAATAATATGTCGTCTCAACTTACCGCACAGGTTGACCAAAACTCCACCGACCCAATGTGCACAGATAAACATAGCACCGTACACTGTACTTCCGTAATCGCTCGCGGTCACCCATTCATTAGTTGGTTTAGTCCAAAATCTGATGACAATATACAGTGTAAACCCGATCAATAGGAGAGTGATAAATGTGTAGAGAACATAGGCGATAGTGACGTTGACGGTACGACATAGGAGCGAATTAGGAGAGTGTGCAAAGAAGCAGCCGCGTTCCTTTTGCGATGACTGTAATGTTCTTCTTCCAGAGTCGTTCGGTGCAGTTGTTGCCATGTCTAGGTATGCGAGTTGATTCTTTTGTCACTTCCAGAGTGAATTATTGCTAGAGTCTAATTTCTTAGATTAAGTAATATAATTATCACTATTCAAAGTGAATGCACATGTAAATGTTCAGGCTAAGACAGCAAGAGACTGTTTTTACGTAACAAGAAGGTTATAAGGCTTTCGTTTGTAGTACACGACGCACGCGTGAGTCTCTGCTTGTTCTCTGCTTGAGAACAAGAGACAACGAGATCCCTTGTGTATGTTTTTCATTAACTTGTCTTCCATTCTTTGATTCGTGTCACATTCCAAATGAAGGTTTCACCTGGGCGGTGGGAAGTTAAGATCTTTTGTAAACAATGCTGACCAACAGTATTTGTCGATACTATGAAGACTGACAATGTGAACCACACAGACAACGACTTTGTAAAGTCGCAGAGAAACGAGGGATAGTTTCATACCAATGTGACACGAATGGTATATACAAAGTGCAGAAATAAAGTTATTGCGGGGACAGGAGATCTGGCTGTTAGAAGATTGTCAATGGGAATTTGATAATATGAATTAAATCTTGATTTGGAATATATGAACGTTCTTGTAACCGCGAGTTTTAACCTGCCCTGCTTGCATATATTAAATGTATAACGTTGTTCAAGTTGCCTAGCTGCGTTTAGAATTAATCGATTTAAGGGACTTGTTGGACTGTTTAGTCATCAGGATGTCAGGAGACAAGGTATACGCCCGCAATGAATGCAACGACGTATCGGTATGTTTAAACGAAAACAATGTATTGTCAGAATTATCTAATTGATTTGGCTGACCGCTAGAAAGAATACATCGATCAAGAAGATATGCGGAAAGCAACTGTTTATAATATATTTATCATGAAAAATAGATGCAGAATTACATTGATATTAATATATGTTGTATTACTTGTTCAAATTGGCAGACGCCCAACCATTGAAAGCAAAGTGATTCATTATTCGAACTTTCGAATGCGATCAATGATTGCATCAACACTTGTCAACGTGAATTGTCAACGTCGAAAGATGTTAGTGGCTATTATTTCTCGCGGTGAAGATGAGTAACTTACTCGGCTGGCATGTCGTTCCAGTGTGTTATGAGGGAAAATATGTTAGAGTTACTATTACTACATATTAATATAGGCCCGATGAAATCTATACCGTTGGAAGAGACTTTGCCATTGTTGGACATAGAACATCTTTCCCAGAACAATAACTCTTGTTTAATGAAGTGGAATTGATGCACTTGAGAATTAACACCAACCGTTTTGAGAGCACAATTGTAATTGCTACTACGTCAGAGGATAAATTATGATATTCTTATGAGTTAATTCTAGTTATGATGAAGTACTGCTAACTATAATTGTTCAATGCTACGTCAGAGATCCTACGCAGAGTATTAATTACTCATCCCACTCGATCGTGATCCTCTGATGCGAATGTGTTAGACACCAATATTCATATCATTCTATTGCATAACAAATTGTACGATAAGTTTTAGTGTTGAGACTGTGCCTATTACAATCCACATCTTAAACAATACTGTGTATGATTGTTATTCTGATATAGTGTTTTCTCTTGTTACGAGAACTTTCGAGTTATCGTAGTAATTCGGGTCGTCAGACAGATTCTCCATTACTATTGTATCGGGTTTACAATCTCAATAGACACCCGTTCTTAGCGTGCGTTCGTTATAATTAATATGACGCAAAAATCATGTCTAGGCGCTAATCATGGGGGTTTTAATCCTTCGAGAATAAACAAATGTATACATATTATCACATCATATCTCTCGATAGCTCGCGCTTTCCAAGAATATGTATGACGTTCGACTGCTAAAGGCGGAATGTCCGAGTTACGTACACATATCTCACTGATGAAGAGAATAATCGAATCAGAAAGATCAATCATACGATACGAACATTGCAGATACAGCAAATCAAAATTGTGTAATTTTCAATAATGTAATGAATCATACGATACGAAACTTCGTAATCTTGCAGATACGGTATATCAATTTGTCAATTTTTCAACAATACACAAATGTTGATCTATTTGTATAATCGTACGATTGTCTGCTAAGTAAATATAGCAAAAAGTATAGTTAGACAATAATAATGTCAGAGGTCATTTGTAAAGACTATTTAGCTAATATCCAGTAACTCATAAAGAAATCGAGATAGATGGGTAGGTATTAATATGGTCTTAGTGAGTAAAGGCATATTAATATTAATGTTAATCCATTTAATATCAATCTTGATTTTCGATCCGGCTAAGGGATTTAGCCAGTGAGCTACGCAAGATTCTCGTTTCGGGAAATTAAAATGTACAAAGATATTAACAGGCCAGAGATGTAATACAAGGTCACGTCATTGCAACAAAACAAGCTGTAGTTATCCAATTGTTTCTTGTCTTAGAGAGGAATATTACAAGTCGATAGAAAAAGCCTGGGAACTCTGCGATGTAGTATGACATCATCGTAACGTCATATAATTATGAGAGTTTTTTGTATATATACGATGGAAAGAATTCCGAGCACCACACAAAAAGCAAGAACCATGTCCTCTAAAAACGCGCGAATTGTTTACAAGCCACAAGGAAGTCGAGAAGAATACTTTGTATATGCATATCCCGGAGAGGTAGATGAACGAAAGTGGTTTCGTTTTTCTATTTCCTTCGAGAATAATTTTCGCTAATATTATTTATTTTTTGTTAGTTAAAAAAGTGGCGCACGGATAAATCTATCCCATTAACGGATGTCGTAGACTGTATGTCATTTTATCGAAACTGTATTACGGTTCAACATTGCAACTGACGTACGTTTTGCTTTATTATATAGCTTTTGATATATTCGAAATCCTTGGCGGCGGAAATGACGGTATCGCGGGACGTGCATCGAAGCAAAGATTAGAAAATGCGTTTGGTACTAGCAATAACACAGAAGTAATTGAGATTATACTAAAAGACGGGGCGATACATAGCACAGTCGAACCCGGGAATTTTGGTATGTATAGTCGGTATGTATTGCAGTGGTGATCATATGGAATTGGCCCAAGCTCAGAATTTTATACATCATCCAACACTTTTCTTCTTTCTAGCAACATTCAATGAAACCCGTGGGAAAGGAGCGGCAACTGCCGAAAATGCTGTGGGAATTCATAACTAATACCAGAATAAAATTCGTAATTAATGAAATCTTACTATTATCTACTACCAATAATAACAATTTGCGATTTGCTGTTGTGAAACTAAGAGCAGTTTCAGATGACAACAAATAAAATAAAGTCTACACAATCGATTTCTCTCACTCGCTACACCCCCATTTATATACTTTTGTGTTATCGCATTATGCATGCGGTTCAACTTTATATGAATTATATGCGATTACTTTTTATCGAAATCTTTTCGTGTGGTGAATGAATACATTAATTAATTTGATACAAAGATGAAGATAAAATCTGGCCAGCAGATAAAGATGATGTGATGATGAAGGAGACGATAGGATGACGATTAAATTAGAAAACTTGGCTTTACACAAAAGAAAACTGCTTGGTAAGCGGGATAAAAATTATCTTTGCACAACGAACGGCATTACTACCCCGATAGTGCTACATCACCAAACCTTGTCAAGCTTCAGCTTCACAATCCCCCTTGAAATTTACCAACAATGTCTTTACAAATGTCTGCTCATACTTTGTGTTCTCAAAGACCACTGCAAGATTTTCAGATGGGCACCGGAGAAAACTGGGCGCAAAGACCATTGCAAGATTATTAGTGTTCATTTTGGTGGATTTTATTGTCATGGGATCGGCAAAGAGCTAATTATGGGTAGAGGTTCATTTTAGTCGTGCAAGCAGATCGCGTGTATACTTCACATTACGATTTGTAGATCAAACCTTACCTGCAAAAAATTTATTGTGAACGCAACTACCCTCCTATTTATTTCTGGCAACCTTTTCACAATCTCAATCGCAGCGTCTACGTCGTCGGAACTTCGAATACATTCATCATAAAATTCGGATGGTATCAACGGTTCCGCCAATTCGCGTAACCAGTATTTGAAAAGAGAGGACGGAATGTTTGGGTCTGTTATTCCCGCTATGTCGTATTGGTTATTCTCAATACGAAGTCGCTAATTTGATGAATGTGAGGAAATAAGTTAGTCATGTGTGCCCAAAAAGAGGGATAAAAAAGAACAAACAACAACCAAGAAACCATTGTTTTGATGCAAGTGTTCAGACTCATAATACTCACCAGTTCAGCAACAGCGTCTACGTCACCAGGTACTCGAAATATTCCTTCCGATGTCTTGCCTTGCAGATTGAGAATAGCAACAGACAAAAACGGTAATATCCTTGGTATTTTGAGGTCAGGATATTTTTCTTTTTGCAATTTCATTATGTCGTCTAGCTTTTCGCCAAATACTGAGGGATAAAACGGCGCTGCCTATAAAAGTAAGATTTATTAATAAATGACAATTATAGTAATATTATATAGCAACATTTGTCAACTTACCTTTGCTCGTTCAATCTCGGGGTATGTAAGCACTTTTCCACGAGGCCCACATTTGGCTATCTTAATTAGACGTGAATGCACATATCTACTGATCGTATCAATATTATTCTCTTTAACATCGAAATGTTGAGTCACGAACCGCATTACGAAAGGTTCAAAGTTTTTGGAAACTGGGAAAGTCACCGAGACCACGCACAGTAATTCCCAGCCCTTGGTGACGGACTCTCTGGAAAAACAATGGTCGTGGATTAATGTCTGCTTTATGTACAAAGTTCGATTACAAAATCTCCAAGCCAACCAATCATTCACGTCTCTTCACTTACTTATTAGGGTTATTAGAAAGCTGTTTACATATCTGTACATATATTTCATCGCGCAACTCGCCGTATAATATGCCCTTACTCAACAACCACTGTGTTTCCATAAGAGGGGTAGAAGGCGTGTGTGTCAACCGTGGTCGTGATCTATCTCCCATTATTCGCTGAATTGCCTTGAAGCATTTCAAAGCGATTTTGTGAACTGGCTTACTTTGGACCATTAATGGCAGGCAGAGAGATTCCTGTATTCAATAAGAAAATACAACGTTAAAGAGATGCAACAAATAGGAAGCAGACAGTGAGATAAATGGCTGGATAAATATGTACTTTTTGAAACTCGAGCAACTTGCAGAAAGGTATTCGGCGTCTAAATATCCCTCTTTTGTGCTCATTGAAATACTTTTCGGCGAAACCTTCAACGCGGAATTTGTTAATTTCTTCTTGTAAATCTGATGGTAGGGCCATTACTTTCCTGATTCAAAAATAAACATTATAAATTAATAAACTATAATATTTCAGGCAAACAAGCACAGTTTCGTTCTTTCTCTCCGGTCCTTGTCTTGCAACTTACCCCGTGATATGAATTGATGATGTTTTATCATACTCATTTCCGTCAATTGTAGGAAAAATCTTTGGTTTCATCGCGAGCATTGCGTCTATTAACAAATATTGATAGACGTTAACGCAAAAAAGATTGATAAGGAAATATTTATACAAAAAAACAATCGCATACAGTCATTCGTAGATCATACACCAAGTCAATGATGTTAATATTCGATGCGTAACACTTACCATTATTTATAATGGGCTGACTGATTCCAACTTTTTTTGCGTGTTCAGCGAGCTTTGGCGATTTACGCACCGACCCACATAAGAAAGAATCAGAACCCGATTGATCATATGAATTTTCTGACGAGACCATAGATGTTTGGGATTTAGAGGGACGAAGTTTTTTGAGGTCTTCTGCAGACTAGAACGCGAAGAATGTGAGTGAGTGACTAATGAAGTGTGTCGATTCATCGAATATTCTCTTAACGCTATTCTGCAACGCCACAATCCCAAACCACTGTGCATACCTTGGAAGTTGGCCTAATAGTTCGTTGTAGAGCAGGGCTAGTATCGATTTCCGTATGAGACTTGGTACGAAGTAAAGGATATTGTTTCCGACCCTCTGCATCGTTTCCGCTAAAGTCGCTCGATATTATTGATACAGCATCGTCAGGGTTGCTGATGCTCTTTTCTCCGAGAGAATTCACATCACGATTTCTTGTGGTGGGTGAAACAACGATGTCTTGGCCTCCAGAATCCACTTCTGACTGATTGCCGATACTGTTTGCTGACAAGGGAGATGACAACGGCGATATTGATGGTGAAAATGAGTTTGAGATGTCGGGAGAGGAAGAAAGTGAAAGAGCACTCGGTTTTTGTTGTTTATGAGAAGAAGAAAAGGAAGCGGAAGATGATAAAGATGTGGAAAAGTCGGATTGTTGTGCATGTGGTGAGGACGAGGCGGAAGAAGAAGGGGAGGAAGAAAATGCAGATGAGGATGATGGTGATGATGATGAGGCGGAGTTATCCATGCTAGATGTATTATTTGTGTTATCCATGCTACTAGTATGCGAGTTTTGTATGGTTTCGGTGTTATGTGTCTTGTCTGTGATATCCGTATTTTGTGTGTTGAACATGTGTGAAAGTGTGGAAGATGCATGTGATCTACGAATAAAGTTTTCTTGTTGTATTTGTTCTATATTTATATCTTCGTCAGATGGAACCAATGCCACAGACATTCGTTTCCCTAATGTCGAAGTCTATACCCAAAGGAGACAAACCGTTTATTCGATTAATATAAATTTGATGACACAGTTTCTTTTGCATGCATACATACTTGTATAGTTGTTAAGGGTATAATGATACCGTGTTCTGGTCTTAACCATTCAGTAGTTCCCGTTTTAGTATGATAGTAGTAAGGCAACTGATGGTTTTCGTCAAAAAATTCCCACCATTCGCCGTTTGGATTTCTTGGGTAGCTAATTAGAGAAGAACAATAAGCGTTAGTAGTGTTAATGAGTAGTGTAATGTTATGGGGGCAGTGTTATGAGTAGTGTAATGTTATGGGGGACAGTGTTATTGTATATGTGTAGTGTTATGGTATTAATGTTTGTCAGTCTTATTTTAGTACTCTCGCACACTCGCCATACTCTTGCAATCTCTCTTTCTCCCTCTCCCTCTCTCTCTTTACACCCTTCTTCCGCTTTGTCAATACTTACAGATCTACGTCCTTTGGTAAATCCCAAACACATTCGCCGGTTTTCTATGTCAATAAGAAAAAGTCAATATCCAAATAAGTGAAATAATATAATAATTGCTAATGCAAATGCCTAAACGTCATTCTGCATAAAATAAACAAAATTCTCTTAAAATGTTTCTCTTGTCTTTTCTTTTTCTATAGGGTTTCGACCAAATAAGACAGGGTTCTCTTGGTACTTTTAAAAACAAAAGTGGAATGCTATTTACCGTATTGGCGTAAAAGGTTCTCTCGGTTTGAGGATCAAGTAATTCGACCCATGTATTATTGATAATTATGGCCATCTCCATCAGAATAAAGAATCAGAATGAAACGAGGGAATACTGGAGTTTTATGTAGTTAATGTAAAACTGCGGAGTGACACAATAATACAGAGAACTATATATATTAATAATAAAGAATAATATTAGTATAATATGTATTATCTCCCCATATCCCATTACTAACTGTAATGCAGTTTTAACTATATATAAATTGCCTCCCGAAGTCTTCAGATAACGGGATTAATTTTATAAAATTTCCTAATCGACCAAAATCTAAAACCCTACAACGTACCCTTTACATCCAAATTTAACAAAATGCTGCCAAAGGACTTCTTTGTGTGCTTATATAAACTGTTGGTAGATGCGTATTTGTCACACACCACATTCGGATATCAGCCGTATTTTGTTCACTGTTGCTCAGTCGATCTCAGAATTGTGGGGGGTTTGCGTTGTAAGGCATTTTTATATGAATATATTAAAAGAAAGAGCATCATTTAATAATGCTTATTCTAGTTAATTACCCGGACATGTCGCACGCAAAAAGTTGCAACGCACACTTTTCAGGCAGTTAAAAAGATGGTAATATCATCAATCATGGAATAGTCTAGCGATTTAACTACTAACCTAAAGGACAAGTAGATCTTCTGAAAGAGACGCATCCTATTATTTACACATGTCCCAAGACATCTATTATCTATTCCCAAATACGTTAATCCTCAATAGGGACCGAAAAGATCGCTGATATGGGTTAGTTGGAAAGTCGTTCACATCATGACAGAAATATCAGCATTGCAATAGCATTACATTGACATCACCCTCCTGTTCCCTGACGCCATGCAGATTACTTTTACAGCTTGGTCTAAATTCGAAATTACGCAGTTGACAAAAAAGAACGGTAAGATTCTAAACAGTAAACCTGTCTCTTTCAAAACATTGACATCATAACGTTACTAGTCCCATTGGCATTACACTAACATAACATATATCACATAATGTTCACGTGCTCTTATTTTAAATACTATATATTTATATATTAGTACTGCCTAAGCCACCTCCGTTGTTTCAGTCAATGAGCCCCCAACGGAACGTTCACAGCCATGATTTTAGGGTGACGCTAATCTTATGTCAGGAATACTATGACTGATAAAGTTCAAGAGTTTCTCTTGCCAAGTGTGATCATTGACTGTGATCAGACCAAAGCATTCTTTCGGCAACAATCAATCGGAACGTCGAATCTTTTTCTTGCGAGATATGAAATACGTATACTTACATAATCCTCCGTGCAGCGATATCCGATAGTCAAAAGATGTATTTCCATATAAACGTCTATTTATATATGTGTCTATATATAGCACATGTTTGATAAAACCGCTATTTGTGTACTACTAGTAATATCTCGAAAGTTTACAAGTTCGTCGATCCCTATCTGCAAAGACTAGCATCTTGTCACATTGTTGTAGAAAATATCTTTCGGTGATCATGCTCCATACCATAACTTGTCAAACAATGCTTTGCTGTACAATCACTTGTGATTCGCAGTGAGAACGTGAGACTGCAATAAAGGCAACTGCTAACTCAATAATGTTCCAACTCTGTCTATCTACGCTCATGTGCATCTAAAGGAAAGATCAACTGTTTGAGATTTGTTATTAAAAAAAGTGCTAGCCATACTTGTTAGAATTATGGTTGCATGACAGCAATTATGCAATTATACATTCTCGATAGTGAGAACATGTTGGCTGTACAAAAAGCTGGGTAAACCACGTTATCGTTTGTGTTCGGTGGTGCGACAGATAACTGTGGATTTATATAATACATGCTAATACAACACAACTCATTCTCTACATACCATTAACATTCCCCTCCGAAAAGTCGGTTTTTTTTCCTCAAAGTAAATGCGCATCCTCTGTGTTATGTGTGAAAATTACGTCTCATTTTCGTCCACATTCCAAATCGACGAGTATGTCTCCCCGATACCAAATTTTAATTTTCTGTTTAACCTCTTGATCTACACCAATTCCTAAGGAAGGAACAGCCAAAACCTGGTATGAATAACAATAGTCTTTTTGATGAACATTTGCATCATGGCTGAAAGACGACTCGTGTTCTTGATGTGCATAAAGGGCCTTATTGTCAAGCCAATTAGCGTCGTTTCTTGATCTTTCTTTCCGAACTCTGCCATATATTAGTGGAACGCACATGACCCCCCTTGTTTTCCTTTTCGCTTTTCTCCATTCCTGCTCACCCCACTGCTTGATCTGTTTCTCATCCTCGGTTCTGAATGCCCCGACGAACAAGTCTGTTTTGTAGCTTGACAAGAGAGAAATGAAAAATCGGTCATCATAAAGATTGGTGTGAAGAGGTTGAAGAGCAACCGGGGTAAATAGTAAAGAGCGGGTCGTGGGCCGTTGGCGGGACAAGAGAATAGTCTGCGTTTGTGTGGTAGACGGATAATGCGGATGCAACGGAAATTGCCCAGCTTTGAAAAGAGTTGTAGTTACTCCATGGACCGTAGGGAGGTGCAAGGGCGCGTGTGTAGAATGCACGCTAATACAATTGTTAATTATATCATCATTTTTCCTGGAATCTTTTTCTTCCCTCCTCTTTTCAAATTCTATATTCGTGCCATTAAATACGCTCCTCTTAATTTCTCCATAGATTTTCTCTACATCCTTTAGTCGTGGACCATGATCACTACATCTCACCCATTTTATAATATTTCCTAACACTCTCTTGGCAATATAACCTTCCATGAACCAATGTGATTTCAGAGATGCCGACGATTCCGGAATACACAGCAGAACCATTCCAGTTTGAGAGTCAAAATGTGTGCAATCAGAAGAGAGAATTTTGGCAACTAAGGTTAAGAGAATGAATGAGTTCTATCCGTAGTTGTATAGCCAAGTAGACTCACCAACACAGTTTTCTTTCTACCTTGTAAATCAATGGCATCTTTGTGTGTTCTCATATGAAATAAAAATTCTGCTAGTTTTTCAGTTGACAATGGTTTGTAATCCTCATTACCATCTTGGCAACTATCGTTAAACAATTTTAGAGCCGACCTGACTGCATTTCTTTTATGTTTGTGGGAACTGTTGGTCGGATCTTCAAACCACTTTACCTTGGCGGATATGCAGGTGTGCTTTAATCGAACCTAATGACAATGATCAAGAGATAAGCAACTGATAGCTATAATCAAGCCATGAATACTGATTCAATTAACATTACGATTAGTCTATTGGCTTACATCTCGTCTGTAGACATTCATGCTTCCTCACCTTTTCGACTCCAATAAAAGGCCTACAAACCCGAATCCCTATCGCTTCGATACTTTTCACCACCGGAATCCTCGCCATCATATTCATTGCAGCCAATCCGTCTATTCCACTTCCTCGAGCGAGTCTCATTATTGACGTCTCAATTTGATCATTTAAATGATGGCCGAGAAATAGAATTGATATTCGGTGGGCGGCGAGAAGAGAGGCAAGTAGAGAGTAACGGTTTATGCGTGCGTGAGTCTCGAGTGTTGATGATGTTGGGGGAAGCGAAGGATCAGTGGACAAGGCGGATGAAGAAAGTGGCCAAGTGAGTCGTGATATTACATGGGAGACACCTTGTTGTGAAGTGAGCATTCAAGATAAAGTCACCCGTTACCATATGTCACTATTAACTATGTAATATAATAAATTCAGCATACCCATTATTTTCAACTCTTCACCAACTAACCGTGCTTCTTCAGAGCTCTCCGGACGCAATCCATGATCTATTGTAAACGCGGTTAAACCGACGTTCCTCTCTCGTGTATATCTATTCAGTAGATAGCATAGTGCCATGCTATCCACTCCACCAGACACGGCAATGCCTGATGATATCAGTTACGAAAAGGTAAAATACGGAATGTCCTCCCCATTAGTATTAATCAGTAGTTT